ACCTAGAAATATAGTAAAAACGCTGAATAGTACTCCAGCGTCGCGACATGCCGACGTTGGTAGGAGTAGGTTAGTCTACAAACGTCGCCTAAAATAATTGATTTTACCCGGCAGAACGAAAGAAGGAAACTCCGCTTTTCAGTTGTCTTAGGCGATAGTTTTTTGACAAACAGTGACCTTTCAGAGGTCAAATTGCTGTCAAGAATATGAATTGGCTGCTTCGCAGCAATAAACATTTTATATAAAAAAACCTATAAAAAATTAAATATGCAAATAGAAATTCTATACAATTGTATAGAAAGTGTATATAAATTGAACGATTTTATATAAAAAAAAAATGTGGGGTGTTGTGTGTTTTTGGACAATTCAACTGGTCTTCAACTTTATCTGGCCCAATTCCAATTGGTTTGCAATGGTCCCAGTTCCAATTGGTAACAATGGCTTTAATCAACTTCTGCAGACTTACAAAATACACTATGAGTTCATATATAAACCATAATTTCTTTTATTTAAAACACCAACAAACATCATACGGTAGGGACATTACTTCCCTAGGGTCTCATTTACTAGCATACTCCTTCATATATTATCGTTTTGCTAATGTCTTACTGCTAAACATCTCTACATCAAATTCAATTGGCTCTTCTATAGTTTTTTGCTTTACAGTCCGGTTTAAATAAGTATTTTTTTTTTTCGTAATGTAGTCCTATTACAAGAGTTTATTATATACAGTATAACAATATTCAAGAACCATTTGTGTTACAGGTGTGCATAAACCTGCGATATTGCAGCAGCAACTGTCCATAACCATGCCTTTTCTTGTCCGATGGTACCAAGATAAATTAGTATGAATTATGCTGTTGATTAAATCACTGTGACTTGTACTAACGTTTTTCGGAGTTTCACTCTTACTGAAAGATATAACAAAACAAAATCTTTAAAAAGAATAATAATGGTAAACTTATAATATATAATATAATATAATATGCAGAAATTTATAACGCGCCAATTCAAAAAACATTATTAAAGGCGCAGTGAACAATTAACCCAATTAAAGCGATTTTGTAAACAAAAAAGTTTTCAAATTAGTTTTAAATGAATTTAAATTTGAAGATTTGAACAGAAAGAGGTAATATATTCCAAAGGTAAGGTGCCTGAACAGAAAAAGAGCGTTGTCCATATGTTTTAGCTTTCTCCTTTTTGAAGGGGCTTGAAGAAGTTTATCGGAAGAACGAAGTGCACGAGTTGGAGAGTATGGCGTAAGAAAATGTAGCAAATATGATGGTTGTTTAAAAAAGAGTGATTTAAAAACAAGCAAAATAATTTTGTATGTTATCCGTTGTTTACGTGGAGTAAGTGAACATATCCTGGCAGCTGAATTTTGTACTTTCTGTAAACGATGAGTAACAAAATCAGGCAAACCGACAAGCAATGAATTACAATAATCTAACTTAGTGGAAATAAAAGCATGAACTAATGTTTCCGTGGACTTGGAACTAAGGTACTTACGAATTCTCTAGATGTTACGAATAAATAAAAACGAGGATTTACAAACAGAGGTGACATGAGGAACAAAAGTGAGAGATTGGTCAAGAATAATACCTAAACTTCGAACGGAAAAAACAGGGTTGATACCCTCTTCAATATTAAGCGAAGGAAATTGAGGTCGAGTGCGGAATTTAGAAAAAAAAAGAAAACAAACAATAAATTCGGTTTTTGAGGGGTTCAGTTTTAACATATTTTTGAACATCCATGTCTTAATTTCATTAATGCAAAGTTGAAGTTTTTGAAATAAGATGGTTTCAGTGGAAGGTCAAAAAGGAAGGTAAATTTGAATATCGTCGGCATAAAGATGATACTTAACAGTATAAGAACGTAAAATGTTAGCAACAGGGGTAATATAAAGCAGAAAAAGAAGGGGACTAAGTAGGCTTCCTTGGGGAACACCACATTAAAGTTCAGTGTCCTTAGAAAATGAATCAGTAATGGCAACCTTTTGAAAACGGGATGAAACATAAGACGTAAACCAGCGAAGAACAATTTCAGAGAAGCCAAAAAGAAAAAGAAAAAGAATAGAATGGTCAATTGTATCAAACGCAGCGGATAGATCCAACTGAACAAGTGCAACTGCCATGCCGTTATCAACAAAGGAAAGAATATCAGTAAGAAGACAATTTAGAGCAGTTTCAGTCGAATGGTCCGATTTATAAGCAGATTGAAAAGGTTCATGGAGTTGGTTTTGTCAAATATTGAGATATTTGAACAGCAACACATTTCTCAGTAAGTTTTGAAATAAAAGGCAAGTTGGAAATCGGGCGATAATTACTAATAATTTCTTTATCAAGATTAGGCTTCTTAATTAAAGGTTTGATGGATGAATTTTTTTAAGAATTTGGAAAAATACCAGTGGAAAGGGAACAATTTACTATGTTCAAAATACCGGGAGCAAGGACATGAGCACACTTTGTGAGTCTTTTTACTATGCCAAAAAGTTTCTTAGTGTCACCAAAGCAAGAGTCAACCTGACATTTGATGTGTTCAGTTTTGGAAGATTCAAGCGTATTTATGAAAAGTGTTAATTGTTTCTTGTATGTTTTGCGGTCAGTATCGGAACCAGATTTTCTCCAGCGACGCTCTAACTTTCTACATCTTTAGCACGAACAGTTCCATTATAAAAAGAGTTGTACTTTTATCCCTTATGAAAAGTTCTTTTAGAGGAGTATGGGTCTCGCAACAACTTTTAAGAGCAATATTAAAATGATTTGTGTAAGTTTCAACATCAGGTGAACAGCAAGCAATATGAGCAAGAGACAATGAGTATGTAAGTAAACCGATGTCGACAGATTTTATATCTCTTATGAAGCGCTTGTTTCTAGTGGATTTTTCAACAGGAACCTTGATGTTAAATAAAATAAAAGCGTGGTCGCTAACAACATTATCAGCAATTGAATGTTCAGAAACTATCGGTTTGGATGATATTACCAGGTCCAATGTATGTCCATACACATGTGTCAAACCAACAAAATTTTGGATAAAGCCTCTATCGGATAAAATATCGCTAAACTTTGAAGCATAGAAATCATTAGGATTTTCCATGTGAAAGTTAAAGTCACCTAAAATAATGCAG